GATATAGGATTCTTCCAAGTTCCAACAACGATGGGACATCTTTATTCTGCAACCAATGTTAAAGTCAATTTTAAGATTAAAAGTTTTAGATGAACTTTTAAGTCAATTTTTTGGTAAAAGAGAAAAAATTAAAAAAAAAACATGTGAAAATCCATATGCATCAAAATCTAAAACCCATGTGACGATTTAGACGACACTAAACGGAATATAAATATATTTTTTAAATTATTTTATCATTTTTAACTAACAAAAGCAATTACTTTTATTGTATAATTAAAGAGAAAATATAATAAAATCACAATTTTAAAGAAGTCTACAAAAATTAAAATAAATTGATGAATAAACTATATGTTTTGTATTTAAACTATTATTCTTGTTTCGTTTTGGTAATTGAACTTTATTTTTTTTGAAAAATCATATCTAACGTTTAGTTAACGTTTCAATTTGGTACCCTATCGATACTTAGGCGATCCGACGACGTGCGTGAAGGCTAGGACGACGACGGTTGACGAGGAAGATGCCAAAGGTGGCAGCGACGACGGTGGTCGTGGTTGGCAAGGAAGATAGTAAGATTAGGATCATGGGTTTTAGGGTTGATTTTGGGGATTTTTAGGGATTTGAATTTTTGTTGTTGTAATTTTAGAGAAATTAAGATTTTTTAAATATAATAATATTTTTAAGTTTTTTTATTTTTTTTTAAATTACCTAAATACGAGATGTATCACTTAACGAGTTTTTTTAATATATATTAAAATCGAGACACTTAAAATGATAACGTTTGTGATACTTAAATGAAAAACCAGTATAATTTGGACTATTTTTTTATCAAGCCTTTATACAACATAATACAAAGGAGTTTCGTTCATCACTAACCGATAAAAAACAAACGTTTTTTTATCGAAATATCACCCTTACACTCAATAATTATTTATCAGACACCTTTTACCAAATATTATCGATCTAGCACCTTTTCTGACACGGTGGCAATAAAACACAGATCGTCATTCGTACCTTCGCAAGGTATTGTCCGAGCTGACGCCACATAAGTGAAAGGCATAGATAGACATCCACACCTTCGGGGTTCTGATACGTACGAAAGGCACAGATCGACATCCACGCCTTTCCTTTATTTCCCCAACCGCCTGTTTCTCACATTAATTACCACTCGTCTCCCCCTCTCCTCTTCCTATAAATACCACACCCAACACAACCTTCAAACCATACTCAAATCTCAAATTCTCTTATTATTCATATTATCAATCTTTATATTAAGAAGATTATCAATGTTTATATTAAGAAGGTAAAATATTTTCTATTATATTAGAATTATTTAATAATTTATTATTTTATTAAATTTTATTATACTAATTTTTATTACTTTTTGCAATTATAAAATGGAAGGTGGTTGCTATGTTTAGATGGGAAATCACATCTCAATGCATTTTACTGATACAGTAACAATTTTAGATTGTGTTATTATTTTAATTATTGTGAATGTTTTATTTATTTATTTTTTAGTATTAGTTTATATTTTAATTTGTAAACTATTTATTAAATTAGGAGAGATATTGTATATTAGATTCTTTCATTCGTAACTTTAGGTTATAGATACCTACTTGTGTCTGGTCATATTTAGCCGAGGCTGGATTCGGTTACATAGCGAATATGAAGGGCATTGTAACCTTGAATCCAACCTTATTTATGCACTGGTTGAGAGGTGGAGACCATAGACTCACGCGTTTCATCTTCCGTGTGGAGAGTGCAGAATTACGTTGGAGGATGTTTTCATACAGTTGGGGCTTCCGGTAGATGGGGATATGATTTCTGGGGTGGCGGATGATGATTGGCATTTCTTGTGTGAGTATCTTGTAGGTGTCCCACCTAATTTCAACAGTGGTTGAATATCGTTAAATTGGTTGAATACAACTTTTAAACATTTGAGTCGCGATGCCTCCGAGGAATAGGTTAAAATGTATACACAATCTTGCATATTACAGCTCATATGAGGGATCTTGATGTCTGACAAATCGCACAACCAAGTTAATTGTATGTGGTTGCGTCACCTCGCAAATTTTCACGTTGCCGACACACTCAGTTGGGGCTCTGCAGTTTTGGCATTTTCTGTATAGGGAAATGTGTCGAGCAACTGATTATCCAAAAATGCTATCGGTGGATATCTCCTTCTTCTCCAGTCTTGGGCGTGATATCGCATACCCTTTTTATGTCCGATCATGAAAAACATGTTGGTCTTTACGCTATTGTTGAGGTAATTTCAATATTGAATTCGTAAATAAATAATTTTGTTGAGTATATAATGAATTTTTTCATTGAATACATGGTCAAGCGCAAGAAAAGATCATCGAGATTTACCAGATGAATTAGAAGAAATTCAGCTACTCGTTGATCAGAAGGCTAGTATAGAGGTATGCATTTAAATTTTATTATTTACTTTTAATTATCGTTATATAATTAAAATATTATTTTGATAAGAATTATATATATATATTTTAGTTTCAATGAGCTCCTTATTCTACTAAAGAAATGAAGATTTGCATCCCACATCACTTGAGAGGCCCATTAAATGTCTGAATGGTGGTGGTCCCTCTGATATGTTATGCAATTGTCGAGTGGCATCCTATTGATCGCGTGTGTAATGATATGAGAGGATCGACGTGGATGAATTCCCCGTACGGAACCCATTTGTGTGAATCATTATTTGGTTACAGATGATTATTATAGTGGTTCAAAACGAACAGGAAATCGGTCCTACTTTCCGAGGAATCACAAGGCGGGAGCATTCATCAACGTCGACAAAGATGTCCACTGTCACAGCATCATTGTCTCCTGACTCATGGACGAAGAGCAGGCGCTTCCAGTTCGTCCTCAGCTTCAGCACATGAACCATCATAGCAGTCACCGTCTACACTAGTGTAAAATTCAGAGTCGTTTTAGATGGCACCGCAGCCGTATCAAATGGCACAACAACCATTTCATATGCCACTGTAACCGAGTTAGACGCCACCGTTTTCATATCAGATGCCACCGTAGCCATATAAGATGCCACCGTAGCCAGGTCAGATGCCACCGCTGCAGGGTTTTATGAACCCTCATAGCAGATATTATACTTCCATGCTTGTAGATCCATCGTGGGATTCATATGCTGCTTATTTGGCGAATGAAGGTGGACCACACACACAGACACCTCCGACGTAGTTTTCGTACTCATCGACGTCGGTGTTTTCGTAGTTTTCATAATTTTCTATGAGCGGTGGGATAGTCAGTCATACACCTCCAGGATCCTTATACTATAAAGGTGCTACATCGTCATTCGTCCCTCATCAACAAAATGTAGTTGGTCCTGATGATGATGAGAGTGAGGAAGAACAAGTTATACGAAGAAATCCTCATCGACACAGACAACCATCGCCTACGAAACACATTCAAGACGTAGGTTTCAGGTCCTCAAGAGTGTTGTTCCTCTTGAAGGATATTCTGACAGAATAATTTGATGCGAAGACGACATTGATTTCATCTTCCTGAATTTATCTATCATATTAAACAATAGTTGAAATACACGTCATTTTAGACTTTGAAAGATCGAAAGTCTTATATCTAAAATACGTCTAATTAAATAAATAGTATATGAATTAAAATATAAATTAATCCAAAAAAATTAAAAAATTTCACAATAATTTAAATAACACAATTTCATATTGTTATCATATCCACAAATTATCTCGAGGTATGATTCCACTTTCCAATTTTACAACCGCAAAAAATAATATAAAAATAATTAGTACAACAAATTTGTTTAATAATTAAATATAAAATAAATATAATATAATCAAAAATTATTTGACCTTATAAAAAAATAACAAAATCTACTTAGCTTGATAGAAGAAATTAATAGAAATGAGAATAAGCAAGTAATTTTGGTGTGGTAATGTTTACATTCAGAGGGGCTGATATTTATAGGGGAGGTGAAACGGTTAAAAGTTGAGTTTTTAGGATAAGATAATAATAGAGTATCAATAATTCAACGTGCATAATGAAAGATATGCGCCTTTGTACGTGTCAGAACCCCACGAAGGTGCAGATGACAATCCCCGCTTTCCCTTTACGTGGTGTCAGCTCATAAAAAACCCCGCCATCCGCGCTTTATTGCCACTGTGTCAGAAAGGATGTTAGATCGGTAATATTTGGGGAAATGGTGCCTGAAAGGTAATTATTTCATGCAAGGGTGATATTTCGGTAAAAACGCCCAAAAACATATGTTTTGTCTACGTGGCGTTTCCTCCGTGCCCTTTCGGATCACACACTCCTTGGGCGTTAACTTATAGATTTTCCAGATTCAAAATCATCTGATTCTGGCCCCCCACATGGAAAAAACCCCATTTACCTACTCGCCACGTGGAAAGTAATTACCAAAACAAATAATAAATTGCACATGATGTTACAGCAGAATTTGTTTTCGCCTTCCGCTCATTCGCTGTCTATTTCATCTCTCAAATTTCCCACACAAACAAACAGCTTCAGCTTTTCTCTGTAACCACTGCTTCTCTTTCTCATTTCCAGATTAGTAACTTCGTATTTTCCCCGTCAAGGTTCCTATCTCTCTTAGCTTCTCTTCAAACTGAAAAAGGAAAAAAGAAAAAGAAACAGAGCAAGAGAATGGAAGAAAGTTTCTTATAATTTTCATTTGGCTTAGTTTTCATATTGGGTTTTTAATTTTGTATACAAAGATTTGTTCTTTTCTTTTTTTATATAATAAAACCATAACTTTATTCGGTAAGAAGAAACATTTGCAAATAGAATCTTAAGTCATTAGTGCTCGTATTTTAATTACAGTTTCAGTTGAGCTTCATTCCTCTTTTTTAGAATGTTTCCTTATACTATACAAAATATATCTATTCTATATACAGTCAATTGCTCTTTCTTCTTCTTTTATTCATTAACTAATAATTTATCTGTTGTCAACAGGGTTTCATCTGCCTGTTGATTGAGAAAAATCTGGGTGTTTTCCTATTGGCTTGCACCATGAACCATTCGGCTCCTGACTGGAATGTTGAGCCTGATCTCCCAATCTCCAACCACAGAAAACCCATGGGGTCTGCACCATTTGCTCTTAAAAACTCTTTCTTTGCTTTTATTTTCAATCTTCTGCAATTCTTGAAATTATTTCTCTCTTTTGTACCAAATTTTGCAGCCAAGACAATGAACTGGTGGAGTTATTATGGGAAAATGGTCAGGTAGTTTTGAACAGCCAAACTCACAGAAAACAAGTACAAAGAAATGATCAACCAACGTTGAGAGAGGGTAGTTTATCGTATGGGAATTCAAGTAATCTAATTCATGATTATGAAACAGTTTCATGGATCCAATATCCTATTGAAGATTCCTTCGAGAAAGAGTTTTGTTCAGACTTTTTCTCTGAACTCCCTTTATCTGATCCAATGGAAGCTGAAAACATTAATAATAATGACCCCAGTAGACAACCGGATTACCATCAAACCACTGCAATTCCAAACCAACTTAACCTTTCTTCTTCGCCTCCGGAGTTTTGTGGGAATCCGATGCCGCCTCCCAAATTTCAGTTTGATTCGGCACATAACAAGAAGAATTTACGAGGTTTAAGCAAGAGTAAAAGCGGTAATTCAATACGAAGAGAAGCTGAGGAGTGTTCGGCTATGACGGTTGGATCAAGCTATTGTGGCAGCAATCAAGTTCTAAACGATATTGATTTTAGCCGAGGTTCAAGCAACGGTTTTGGAACTACCGTGACCGGTTTATCGGTCGAGACATTGAAAGACGGTGCTCAAAAAGATGTTGTCCAAAGCGAGAAAGGAAAGATCGAGACCGTTGAACACACTGTTACTTCTTCTTCGGGCGGGTCTGGATTCACGAGTTGCCATAAAAGGAAGGGCAGAGATGGGGAGGACAATGGGTCTCAAAGTGAGGTGAAACTCGCTTTCACTTTCCCTTTACATTTTTTCCCCTTCAACGTGAACTGTGATTTCAGGTATGAACATGAATTGTTTTCACCTTCTTCAGGCTGCTGAACATCAATCTGCTGCAGCAAATAAGCCACCCCAACAATCCAGTCTTTCTCGCCGGAGTCGAGCAGCTGAAATCCATAATTTATCCGAGAGGGTGGGATTATGACATACTCTAATAATTCAGATTTCATAAGTTTAATGTATAGTTACAAAGAATTTTACTTGTATGTATGCATGAATGTATGTTTGTTTTCTCATAGAGTTGCTTATAATGTTGTTGCAGAGACGGAGGGATCGGATCAACGAGAAGATGCGAGCATTGAAAGAGCTCATTCCTCATTGCAACAAGGTCGTTTACAGCTTTTAGGCTATGGTTTATAATCGAACATGAAAGAATATGACAGTTCGACCTAACTGAATTAGTGTTATTGCTGCAGACAGACAAGGCATCTATGCTAGATGAGGCAATTGAATATCTGAAGTCTCTTCAGTTACAGCTTCAGGTATGAAACATCCATTAGGTCTACGAACACGACTAAAATTTAAATTGGTGTTTCGAGTTAGCGTATCACTTAGTCGCTTAAAGTCAGATCTGGTGTGTTTCAGTTAATGTGGATGGGAAATGGGATGGCCCCAATGATGTTTCCAGGAATACAACATTATATGTCCCGCATGGGAATGGGAATAGGTCCATCCGCAATGCCTTCTATTCATAATCCTCTGCAAGCTGCAACGGGGCAAACTCAACATTTGAATCCAATTAATTACCAACATCATGTGCAGAATCCGACGCTGTCCGACCAATATGCACGCTTTCTCGGCTTCCATCAAATGCAGAATGCCTCTCAGGTATATGTCTGATGGCATTGCACTCATTACTTCGTCGATACGTTCGTTGTAAGCTTACTATGATCATTTGTGTTTGTAGCAGGTGAATATGTTTGGATATGGCCCTCAAACTACAACGCAAAGTCCAATGGCATTAGCTCCCACTGGTACTATAAGACCAACTACAACCAATAACACTTCTCCAAGTGGCAAGATGGGTGAGTACTAATTTGTTCTCAGTGTTTGATAATCGAATTTCTCATGCTTGTTTGATATCATATTCATGGGGAGGTGCATGTGGCATTTATGACACTGAACTACGGCTGTCACCACGTTAACCTTTTTCTTGGGTCCAAAATATTTGGGGGGTATTGACCACAAATTTCTTATTTTATATCTATGTGCATACACCGTTAGATATGGACTGCTTTTTGTGTCATCCACTAATTTCATTTTCATCCTCCCAAAAGGTATTTGGTATAGTGTTAAAACTAGCCCAAACATTTATATGAATGAATATTTTAATTCTTATTTTTTTAAAGTACTTTAGCTCCTAATATGTCAAGTTTTTGGTTAAAATAATTCAGGTTGAATAAAAATCATTAGTTGACTAATTTACATTTGATAAATTACTAGCGTGACATGTATCACTTCACCCAAAGTGATAAGGTGACATGTCACCTGTCACTCAATATGATAACATGACATATGATATATCATCAATTAAATATATGAAAAAATGACATATCAATAATATATGTTAACCGTACGTCAAAAAATATATAATAATAACCTTTATGTCCATCTCTTTATTTCCCCCAGAACAGTAACTCGTTATTTGTTTAATCATGAATAATGTTCATATTCATGCATTTGTTATTGATAGGGTAAGTGAAAGTGTGGGGTCCATAGCAACTTGCTAGAAGCTGATGCCGCCCAACATGCGGTGCCTTCCTTTCTCGAACACTAGGTATGCGGAAGGGCCCAGTGTCCCGTTCATCGATGAAGGAAGTTTAAGTCGACAGTCACATCTCCTATATGCAACATTATCAAGTGGGACACCCACCACCAGACTTAATAAGCACTCAACAAAAGAAGGCATCGGTATTATTTCATTCGATTTGGATGAATCACAACCAAGGGTAATATTTAATGAAGGATTTGTTAATGTTCATCTATTAAGTTAAATAAAAAAGTGAACAAGTTTTTATATTTATTTAGTAAATGAATGAATATGGATAAAAGAGTGTTTAGTTCGTTTATATTTACGAACAAATTCGTTTATTAACTCATGTATAAACTTATTTCTTTGGTTATTAATTTTCCTTTCATTTTTATATTTTAAATAGTATAGGCTAAATTGAACATTTGGGATTCAAACTTTAAAGTCTAAGGAATTTAAAAATTAGTGACGTGATTTCACCATATTTATTTAACTTGCAAATAAAAAGATAAAAAGTGTTGTTTCTAGAACATTAAATGAATATTGAATAAATCAATTATAAATATTTTTAACAAAATAAATAAATATAATATTAAAATTTTAAATGAAGATAAACTAAACACGAATATTTCTAAAAATATATAAATAAATATGAACAATAGTTACTTTATTATAGTCTGATTCATTTACATTATGTACTTGCTGGAATGTTGGCAAATAAGACGGCAATCTTCAATTCGTCATACATATGAATAACACTGTTCTCATATATATATATATATATAAAATACGGATGATAGTAGATGGTAGAGGTGTTTGCGGTTAGTTTGGATCGGTTTTTGGTTAAAAATTCATCCGATACGAAAGTATAAATGTTTGTAGTTTGGATGTTTCTAAAAAAAATTAATCCGATCTGATCCAATTAAGTGCGATTTGATTCGATTTTAACTTTTGGGACTTATATTATATATATTCAAGAGTCTTAATAGGAAAGTCAGAAATATGGAAACACTTCATTGTAATATATATCGGTTCGGTTTGGTTTGGATCGGTTTCAAATTTTCAAATCGAAACTGAATCGATCGATTTTTAAAAAAATACATACACACTAAATCGGTTTCGATTTTTTCAATTATCGATTTTTTAGATCGATTTTCGATTATTTTTTTAGATCGAATTGGATCTGAACACTCTTAGTAAATGGCATATTTGCGATTTTTAAAATATTCCAAATTCACTTAACTTATATGAAATATAATATATTTATTGTGATAATAGATTGGATCGAACTCTAAAGTTCCGCAGAGAGCCCAACCAGAAATGGTCAGTTTGGTTGGCTTTGAAAAGGATTGTCCATGAAAGGGTGAATAGTCCCACATTATAGTCCAAACAGTACTGTTTGACGGCCTATCGTAGCTTGCTGGAAATTGTTCATAAAGTTGCTATTTTTTTTAATATTTTTGTAAAGTAAACTACAAGGGAGATCATTAAATTATAATTAAAAATCATTTTGACCATCAAATTTTAATTTAATTAATCAAACTATTTAATTATTTAAATGTTTCAATTAAGTCATCGATCGTTAATTTTAACAGAGGTGGTGAATTGTCCGTTTATAAAATTGACATAATTATATATTTGGTCCGTAATATTTATATATTCTATCAATTTAGTCACTATTTTAATTCAATTAAATAAATTTAACTATTCAATTAGGACGTGACACATGTCAATTCATGATTAGAAGGTTTTATTTATGAATTTTAAATTAAATAATTATTAAAGAGAAAAATTTACACTCTAAGGGATTCGTACCAACATTAAGGGGAAAATATGAGCAACTAGGCACCTAATTACAACAATTTATATTTGTCTTTTAAAAGTTTATTAATGATAAAAAATTAAACAAATTATTTGTCTTTTTAAGTTTACACCAAAAGTTTGTCTTTTAAAGTTTACAATAAATTATAAAATAAAAGATCACAAAATTAATTAAAGAAATATATATTTAAAATTTTAATTAAAGAAAGATTTATAATAAAAATAATTTTAAAATTTTATATTTTAATATTAAATTTAAAATATAATTTAAATATATAAAAAATATTAAATTATAAATGTAAATATAAAAACACAATTTGTAAATCTTAAAAATATAAAAGAAAATATTAAATTAAACTTTTATAATTTAATATTAAAATTCATTTTTATATTTTTAAATTATATTTTAAATTTAATTTTAAAATATAAAACTTTTAAATTTATTTTTATTGTAAATATTTCCTTAATTACAATTTTAAATATTATATTTGTTTGGTTATTTATGTGATCTTTTATTTTATAATTTGTGTAGGTTCTAATCTATACTTTATTATTTCTACTTTTTTTATCATTAACGAACATTTAAAAGACAAATATAAATTGTTATAACTTTAAAATATTGGGGACCTTTGACTCAGTGATTTGGTAAAATTCATAAATAAAATCTTTCAATCATGTATTGACATGTGTCAAGTCTTAATTTGATAGTTAAATTTATTTAATTGAATTAAAATAGTGATTAAATTGATAGAATGTGTAAATATTATGGACCAAATATATAATTCTGCCAATTTTATAAACGAACGCGGAATTTTATAAACGAACGCGTCACCACCTTCGTTAAAAATTAACGGCCGATGACTTGATTGAAGCATTTAAATAATTGGGTGGTCTGATTGATCAGATTGAAACGTTGGTGGTTAAAATGATTTTTAACTATAGTTTGGTGGTTCCCGTGTAGTTTACCTTATTTTTTTAATTATTAACAACGTTCTCTTTAACCACCGATATCATTTAATGAATTTGTTGCTAAATTTGTGAAAGAGTTGGGTTCTGGTTTCCAACAATATGAATACCGCAGATGATTCTCCAAATCCACTTGTGTTTGAGGCTTCATGTAAAGGAGATTTCCAATCATGTTCAGAGGCGTTTATGGGGTTCAAGAGACAATAAATTAACGTATGGACAGCTGATGGTTGTTTATCTATAAATAAACTCTTTCAATGACCAATCATAAGGTAGAGTTGTACTTTTGATACAAAATAAATCACAAATTTAAGACATAAAACACGACTCTACCTTATTATGATTTTTATAGATAAAATTTAAATCATTTATCCGTACTTTTTAATAATATATATATATATATATAGTACATGAAAGAAACACAAGATTAAGATAAATTATAAGACAAAATACATATCTTAGAAAAATATTACAACACTGTGTGGATGAACACCGTTAACGATGAATATCATTAAATTAATTTATAAAATGTTAAGTACTAAACATATAATTATAAAATGATTAAAAATATAGATGTAATTAAAATACAATATTTATAAAACATTAGTTTTTAGGGTAAACTATACCATTGACAACTTAATTATTTACCCCTTTTACTTTAACCACCGATTTTTCAATTTTGTCAATCGGGTCACCTAACTATTTAAATCTTGTAAATCAAGCTATCTATCGTTAAATATTAACGGAAGAAATGATGTGGCAGATAATAAAATTTGTATAATTACACATTTAGTCCTCATTACTTACACATTCTATTAATTTGATCTTAACTTTTAATTAATTCAATAAATTTAATCATCAATCAGATGGTGACATGTGTCACTATGTGATTGGATATTTTTTCTTAATATTTTTATTTAATTCAATAAAATTTTTATCCAATCAAATGGTACGTGTCACCAATTGAATGAATAGAAAATAAAGTGAATCCATAAATGTTGTTGATGGAAGAAAACACCCCAACCACTAGGTTGCACCATTCAAATAACAAACAAATTACGACATAAAATATACAATTAATGGCAATTAAAAAAGGGAAAATGGCCTAATAAGAACTCCAACATGGAATAATTGAATAATACGATAATATGATATATATACACACACACACACACAAATATTATAGTTGATTAATATATGAATGTATTTTATTTATATTTTAAATCATTTTAATGAAAAAAATAAAAATAAAAATAATTAAAATATAACGAATAGCTTCGTTGACTTATAATTTTCCTGATAGTTGAGGGCTTATAGTAGTGAGCATTTTAACTTATACATTGACTTGTTTATATCGCGGTTAGAGTAAGAACTTTATACTTTATTATTTATTCATTATATATTTGAAGACAATTTTAGGGGAAACTTGATTTTCTTGAATTAGTCTATTTTAATATATAGTTGTTAAATAAGATTAGAATCTGATTGACGTTATAATATTCTAAAATATAATATATGATACATTTCAGTTCAATAAAATTAGAATAATAAAGACAATTTATTAATTTAAAATAAGTAAAATGATACATTTCAATTATAACATATTAAATTCACTTTTATTTCAATTTTTGCATTAAATGTGATTTAAAATATAAATAAAAAATATTCAATTATTAATCAATTATAATATTTGTTTATATATATTTTATATTTTCATACTATTCAATTATTTCATGTTTGAGTCCTTATAATGTCATTTATTACCATTAATTATATTATAAATTATATAGATTATGCTCTGTATACTAAAGAAATTTAGTGGTCCAGTTTTAAGGTGCTTAGTTTTCCATTCATTCAATTAGTGACACATATCACCATTTGATTGGATGAAAAAATTATTAAATAAAAAATATTAAAAAATCCAATCACATAGTGACACATGTCACCATTTGATTGAGGATTAAATGTTGAAAACATTTTGATGTTTCGATATAACAAATTAAGTTAAATGAATTTTAAGATTTTACAAATGATTTTCTAAGTATATTCGATACAACTATTCGAATATCAAAATATTACTCCAAGTTTTACAAAATGTCTATTTCAAATCCTTACTCAAGTGTAAAAATATGTTTTAATCTTTTAAACAACTTTACAAAGTATTTCGAGCCTTAATCGAGTCAAAAATCATTTCTTAATAAATCTCAAACCAAAATGGGCAGATTGCCCAGAGGGAACCGATTCCCCCCAAGGAGGGAACTGATTCCCCCCA